AGTAACAGTAGATGCAGTTAGCTGGCAGGACTATCTTGGTGGGATCATACAGTATCACTGCTCCAGTGGAAGAGCAAATCATGCTGTTCTCATCACTGGCTTTGACAGAACAGGTACGTTTCTGTCAACTGAACTTCAGTCCAGTCGGTTTCGTGTTTTTTCTCTTTCCTGCAACATGGCTCTTGCAGAGCAGGTGATTAAAATCCAGAACTGGGTGTTCTGTTGAGAGCTGTTTGGTGACCCATCAGTTCTGGAAGCGCAGTCTGATCACAGGAGAAATACTGCTCTTGTCTGTGCACATTCAGTTCTGTGGGACTTCGTGTCCTTGTAAAGTCATGAACACTGCTATATGTGTCTTTATGCTAGAAGAGGATATATCCAGCTTGTTCAACACTGGGCTACTAGCTCTGTCCTGTATGTGAAAAGCAGTAGGTTTCACTGTACAGTATCGTCAAACTACCAGAAACTGAGATGTTAAAATGGTAATTAACTCTGTAGAATGTTAGACGTTTTTTATGCTTCCCACATCTCATGTTGTCTCTTGTTTACAAAAATGTCTCTTCCAGGTAGTGTCCCGTACTGGATTGTACAGAACTCTTGGGGGCCTACATGGGGAATAGACGGCTATGTTCATGTTAAGATAGGCGCCAATGTCTGCGGTAAGTCTGCAAAAAATAATTAAAAGTGGTAAAGGCCACATGCTGTGATAAGTTTCTCCATGTAGGTAAAGCAATATAATGGGATCCTCAGAGAGGAAATGTAAATCATTGTCATGTTTTAGAAAAGGTTAGATGAGTCCAGATGGAAAAATAAATAAAGTGCTTGCTAGTTCAACCAAGCCATATAGCTGAATGATTGAAAAACTCATGCAAAGGTAAAGCTATGTAAGGCATAACAAATCAAGTGCTATTGTACCTTACCGTGTAGAGATAATGGGATAGTAAAGTCAAGAGTCATGGTTCTAGGTTAGTGCCACCGCTCTACTCAGTGTAGGTAAAACAGCTGCTGTCCTCGTCTGGGTGGTGCAGTTATCCCCGGGCTCCACTTAGCAAACAAATACGGAAAGTGGATCTGCCTATGCTTGGGAATTGTGTACCCTGCTTGTGGCTCTTCTTGTAGGGTAGAGGTACATGCTGCTATTGCTAGTCCCAGCTCCTGCCTTCTTACTGTTTGTATGAGATTTGTCTTGGTGTTTGAGGGGTTTTTGTAGCATTAAGTACCCAGTTTCTTCTGAGTTGCTGAATGTGGAGGTAAAACAGGTGAAGTTCTTGTTTCCCAGCAAAGATTGCTGAGCCAAATTGCTGGGATTGGACTACTAGATAGTAAATGTTGTGTGTCCTTTGAATTTTTGTCTGTTAGATGAACACTGTAGGTCTTGTATTGGCTTTCCCTTCCATGTATTTTTCACAGTAGCGCTCTCAGTCATTTTAAAAGGTGTTAGATGATGTAAATCATCTGCAAATAAGAATAGGTCATAAGCAGTTTGCCTGCACTTGGTGAAGATTTGGACAACGTATCCAATCATAGCTTTTCTGTGTTGCTGAAACTTTTGTTCATGTTGTTGTGCTATAAAAAAACTATTTGGAGAGAAAAATTTGGCAGTAGCAATAACTAAAGCAAGTCAATTGTAGAGGTGGTCAGGAAGAACAGCTGTGTTATTTTCCAAATCCATTCTCTCCAAAAGCAGGATCATTCACTTTTCTGTAATGTGCCACACAAGAACAATCCAGCAAAGGCCAGTACTTGCTCTGTTTCCCCCACAGATGTTGTCTTCTGATGTAGAGGTGCTCTGATACCACTTCTGAAGGTGTAAGAGCCCTGTCACCCTTTGATACCTTCGCAGGCTGTAGTCAGACTTTGCTTTTAGTGCTGGAAGGAGTACAACAATGCGAAAAGAACTGAGTATGAGTAAAAGCATCGTTTGCTCTGTGTATGAGTGTTCAGAAATGTGTCTTGTGATGGAATTTGTGATCTCTAGTCTGTTGATGAGCTTTGAAAGCTGCATAACTTCATATTGTCTATCAATTGCTAACACATATGATCAAAAGGAAAGAGGATATCAAGGTTTAGATTGCTTTGCAGCACCAGATTGGACCAACACAGAATGCTCAGAAAGGATCTAGAGCTTCCAATGTGAAAGCAGAGGAAGGAGGAGAAATAAATCTCAACTATCAACAGTGTCAGGCAAGGAAGAAATCAAAGTGTTGCAGCTGATCTCCCACACCCCCCCTACCCCAGCAGTTCCCCTGCTGTCACGGCATGGAGGAGAGAGGGCATTATATGAATATGAATTCTGGGGACTTATTTCTGGCAAATCTCCACTTCCAGTATTTATTTAATTTTTTTGTTTGTTTCATTTGTAGGTATAGCAGATATCGTTTCATCAGTATTTGTCTAACACTTACTGGTCAGAGACCACAAGTATCATTTGGACACACACTGTATGTGACGACTTACTTCAAAGCAGCATTTTCTAAAATAAGAAATTGCTGTAAGGGCATTTCCTGCTTTTAGCCAGTTCAGGAATGGGTTGGCTGGAGTCTTTTAAAAATGTTTTTACTTAGAACGTGTGTTGCGCATCATATCTCTCCTGGAATAAGAAGACTCGGAATCAACTGCAGAGGGCACAAAAATGAACTGAAGCTGCGAGTGTGAACTCTATCCAGGTGTTGAATACCTACTCCATAAAAAAAATCTTACAAGGAAAGAAGTGATGACAAATGATAAGATATTTGAATCAAATAGTCAGTAGTATGACAGAGTATAATTGAAATCCTTTGAATATAAGAAGAATCATGATTAGGTCTGCTTTTATTGGGCAGGGAGAAAGGGCAGCTGGAAGAAAATGTTCTAGTTTGCTTTGACATATTCTGTCTTGGCTTTTCTAGCACCTCTGCCAGACACACACAGGTTTTTTTTTTTTCCGCCTTTTTTTGTGAAATCCTTCTTTTTCTCTAAAGTTAGAAGAATAGAGGAGGGAAATGGATAGTCAAAGCCGTTTCCTGGGGTCCCACTGTCTCTGAAGTGCTGCAGTCCTTCAGTTTGAGCCTTCAGACCTTTATTGGGTAAATATCACTTCAGAGCAGGGCGAGTATTTTGGAAAGTGCCTGGAATATCACAGTCAGCTGGATTAATTTGTTAGATGGGTATAAAAGTAAGAAGTACCTGTATTTAGCCAAACCGAGGCAGTTCTAGTGGTTTAAGATCCTGTGTCCTGGCAGGGTTTATGTGTTTGCAGATCAGCCCTTCCGTGCCTGGAGAGCTGCATCAGTTCCATGCCTTCTCTCTTCTTTGCTTCACAGTGAAGTGAGGCCAGTTGCAAAGCAGAAATTGAAAAATTTACTTATTATAGAAAAACTTGGGGGGTGGAGTTTGTTAATACATATTTGCCACCTTTAGAAAGTCAGCAATTACAGTGTACTCCAAACAGAGTGGGTGTTCAATTCCCTCCATTAATTGAAATCATAGGTAGGACTTGCTGCGGATCAAAAAGGGCTTCCAGCTCTGCTGACCTGTAAAACTGCAGTTGCAGGCAAAGGTAACCATGACAACAACCAACGTGATTCTAAAATGCTCCGAATCTTTCATCTGGAATGCTTTACCTCTATCTTTTATGAAGCAATACTACAAAAAGTATTGAAGTAATTCTGTAATTTTTGCTCTCAGTTACTGTATCATGGTATTAGTTCAGTGTATTATTATCCTTTTATGACAAATGTAATGAGTGTTCATAACTGTCTATTGTAAAGTATAGTAATTTTAGTGCAAGTGTTAATATTTTAAAGGAAGACCAAGTTCTATGTTTCTCTACTTCAGGTTCTGATATTTACTGAATTTACTGTCTGAAAACTTCAGATTGACAAAAGGGGAAGTCTTCTGGAGTCTTACGGTCTTCTGTAGTTCGGCCTTCCCTTAGCAGTTTACAAACAACAAATAGCACACTTATGTAACTGGAAAACAATAGCCAAACTTCCTAACTGGCATTGAGAAGAGGAATGTAGTTAGAGTAGTATCAAACACAGACGTTCCACTGGTGTTACTGATGTGGTACTACCAGGTGTAGGTACCCAAAGCGCCATGGTACAGAGCAGCTCACCAGAAGTTAAGGCCTACAGCGTATGTGTATTTCTAAGGGAAGCATTTAAAAAGACAAGAGTCCAGCTCATGAGAAGATGACACAGCTTTATAAATATTCTATGGCCAAATTTGCTTTGCTTTTATTATATATCAATTTTATCCTTATTTTAATGATATTTTGAATAAAAAACATTTTAAATGCCTGTCAGTGTTGTTTGAATTTTATGCTTGCTTTAGAAATCTTAACAAAAGAGGAGCTTTAATACTGCTTTATTTGAAGTGCAAAGTACTTAATGTTATCTGCTGTTCTTGACAGTATTTCTACTGAAGGGATTTACATTCATGTGTAAGAACACATAGATAGCAACATGTTCCAGATGTATGTAAAAGTTCAAGAGGCTTTGGGTTTCTATAGATTCAGGACAGTAATTTTTTAAATTTAGCTTTTGAAACTCTTAACCCAAAATTCCTTTTGAAATTCCACTAGAGCTTAGAAACTGATGTTTTTCTGAAGGTGGTGAGACTAATTATGTCCTCAACTGGAAGAAGTAAATTACTAATAGCCATTAGGAAAACAAATACAAAAATATGTACAAATAAGACATGCTCGTGACAATTCTGTATAATTTACTCCCTCTCTCTAGGTGTAGGTTTTACGAAGCCAACAAAGAGTTAAATTGGTCATTGAGTTGTATTGGGATATCATTTTACTCATAATACTGGCTAATTTGATACAGATTATTTTTTCTACAAACAAGGACATTTCTTCCAGAAGCCAATCATACTATTCCCATAGCTGTTGTACATAAATACATATTTACACATCCACACTGCATGAGAATAGCTGTTGTATTTGAGGGGGGTAGCACCGCTCGAGAGGAAAGTCCTGAAGTTCTTTACAGCAACCAGTCTAGAAAAGCAGGCTAGTCAGAGTCATCACTGCTGAAATAGGAGCTGTCACAGTATTCTGCCGTGTAAAGGAATTTGTGGATGGTTGGGTTCATCTTTGGTATCCAGTGTCTTGGCACTAGAAACGTTGAAAGATTGAACAAATCCACAAACACCTTGTATCTGTCACTGGAAAAGACAATTGGAACAATCCACACCGCAGTATCAGTATAGAAGGCCATAATTTCAAAATCCTCACCAATCATTCCATCTATTTATTTAATAAGGTTTCCACACTAACCCTCCTCCTGAGTATTCCAGAATAAAAATCCAATCCTAAATTTTTTCTAGGGCATAGCAGATTAGATTTAAAAAGGAAATATGGTTGCTATAGTCACATCTTTCTTCTGTATCCAATATTGTTGCTATTACAGTACCACTTAGATCCCTTGACTGGGAATTATAAATGGCATTTCACATGAGTGATCAAAAGGAGTTCTTTTTGCCCCAAGAAGCTTGGAATTTATATAGGTTGACCTGGTAAGTAAGTGTACAAAAACCAGGAGGAAATGCTGGAGTCCCAAAAGAGAAACAACAGCCCTCCAGCCTCTGGTGAGCCGTCTGAAATCCATCTCCTGGCACTGAGTGTCTACGGACCGCATTGTTGCAGGTAACGGGGGAAGTGCGTGGTTCCTACCTCACCGTTGAGCGTAAATACTGGTAGCCCGATGAGCCTCCGGTGCCAGCCTTGCTGCCGATCATTCTGTGCACCATGCAGACGTGGTTATCTAAGCAATACAAAGGAAGGACGTGGCATGTGGTCAGCGTTAAGGTATAACTAAAGGGCCACGTCAAGGTGCATCATTGAAATATTAAAGCTCGTACAGAGATCTTCGCAGAGATACAGAGCTACTAGGCCTTCAGCAATGCAGGAGTTAATTATGCTGCTCTTCAGTCAACTAATATAAAATTATTGTTAATACAGAATGAATACACTAATCATTACACATAATTATGCTCTGCTAATACAGAATGAATAAATTCATTTATGAATGTCTAGAGAGGGAAGGAGCAGAAGGAATGTTTGTGCATTAAGAGTTGTCATGATGATGCTTTGGCATATATATATTGGGAAAATATATACCTGTCCCTTAAATAAAGTTGTTCACCTAACCTAAAGCATGTCATAGAACTGGGTGCTATACCTATGTATCTAACGATCACAGAGGCAGCTGTTCATCTTCCCTCTTGGCCAAAGCGCAAACAAAAACAAAGTAATCCCTAAAGGAGGAACTCAGAAGCTCGATTCTAAAACTCTGGGTGTAATTTGTCTAAAACTGGGTGAAACAGAACAGTTTACTTGCGTCTAAAGGAGGGAGCATCACCGTCAAAAAGTGAAACTTACATCTCCATTTGGTCATGAGCACATCAATATCCATCAGGGAGGTAAGAAGCTGGAAGGGAACTTGAAAACGGGGCTCTTCCCTTGGAAAACAAAAGAGGAGACAGTGAGACCTCTTACGATGAGCTGTATTTTTCAAAGTAGTGCTTTACGTGTGTGTAACAGTGACTTCATGTGTATTTTCCCTAAACTGGCATTGAAATGTGAGTAGATACTCTAACAAATGTTTCTGCCGTGTGAGTCTCGATGTTTGCCTTTTCCCTCATACCTGGAAAAATACTCTGAACCTTTCTAGGGCACTTTGTAGAACAGCGTGAACGGAGCACTTGCTAGTTTTGATCTGAGGAGCAGACATGAACTGGCTGTGCGGAGAGGCCGTGTAACCTCCACCCTTGGAGAGACTCAAAACTCGGCTGGACACAGCCCGGAGCAGCCTGATCTGACCTTCAAGTTGGATCTTGCTAATCTAGGTTTTCGTGGAGGGTTGGACTAGATTACTTTCCAAGGCCTGTTCCAACCTAAATAAACCCGTGCTGCTGCCCTTAACCTTCACCTCTCCTCCTGCCAGTAAGCATTAAAGATATATCTTCTAACATTACCTGTAGAAGTAGATCATTAAGGCACCCTTCAGTGCTTTATAAGACAGTCGCCTTTCTCCTGCAAAATACAAGTGTTCTTAGTTTATCACGGATGGTCCTGCAAATCTAATGTGATTATATTTATCATGTACAAAAAACCAAAAAGTGCATATTGACATATATGAATACAATTTACCTTTACTAAGCAGATGTTCATGGCGTTTTTCATCAAATAATGAAAGTAATACATCTTTCTGTTTTTGGAATTGAGAAAATTTGGCCTTTGATGTTTAAAACAAGAACGGGTTTTAGAATTCAATAGGGAAAATTAAGCACTTGAATGACTCATGACGTAACTTCTACTTTTATCATAAATAGACAACTTCCATTTTCATGATAAATACTCTGTAAGTTTCCATCTTAAATGTAAGAACTGTGTTCTCAGATAAGATAGATGAGCCACTGAGTCACTGTCCTTTAAAAAACGTGATTACCACAAAATGTACAATTAAATAGCTGTCAACATAATTCAGAAGAATGAATGTTCAAACAAACTGGCAGCTTATCACTTTTCTTTAGTTCTAGAGGCCTTGAAAACATTTAGTCTTCATTTGTTTGAAGTCTGATTATTTTTTTCCCTCCAAGGAAACAAGAAGATACGGTTTAAATAAGTTAGAAAGTTGTAAACAGATATTCTCAGGAAATCGATTAATTCTTATGTTATGGCGGTTTTTCCATTTTAAAAATGTACTTAAAGCTACAGGTCTTATAATATTCAGGGATTTTTTTGTCCTTATTTGCCAGTGTAATTCAAATTATCACATACCAGCAAATTGCAACACACTGTTAAATAGAAATGGGCCGTTTATAGTGACACTTCATACACACAGCTCATGGGCCCAAACTTTGTGGGGTTTTATTCTGCATTGTAGATGCAAGTACTGACTAAAGGTGAAGTTGTAGTTTCAGTAAAATCAATTTCAACCCTTCCATTGATACTATTCCTTTCCTTTTGCAGCCAGCATCATCCATGTGTCACATGTTTTAAACTTCGATGTCAAATTACAAACTTCTTCAGATTTCCCAGAAAAGTTTGCCATTTTTTCTGCTTCTTGCAGATAGAAGCTGCTGAAGATTAAGTGAAGTGAGTGAGAAACTGCGATTGGGCCAAAAGTCAAATTTATGTCAGGATGTCGCTTTGCCAGCTGTCTTTGCTTATAGATAGATCAAGAGTATATTAAATACCTGCACCAAGGCAAATTCCTCTTCCAGACCTTTTAAAACATTCACTTCAAATTGTCCCCAGAAATCAAATCCTTCTGCATGGAGTCCTGGAGTTCTTTCCAGCCATGCCTTTAATAATAATAATGTGTTCAAACATTAATAAGGCAAACACATTTCCCTAGAATTACAAGTTATAGCAACATAAATTACACCGCTACAGTTGTTCTGGTTTACTATCCCATAGAGGTGCTTATTGCTGGAGTAAGCATGTCCACGCATAAGATTTATACCTGCAAAATGGTGCTGTGCAAACACACCCACAGGTTGCAAGATAAATGACCAGTGTTGGAAGACAACAGCTGCCTTGTTTTAAGAGTATCTTTAAAACCAATGGCCTTGTAGATACAGGAAAACAGTCTAATTCCACATACATATGATAATTGTAAAGATCAATCTCAGAAGGAAGATCTAGAACCATCTACTTGTACAACCAATTTTTGTCATCAGACAAGCTGAATGCTGATCAAGCAGTCTGTCATTAGCTTACACCAAAATATGTTACAAGACACAAATTTTCGTGGCTGTTAGCAAAGCCTTCCCTTTGTTTTTCTTTTAATAATGGGAATTAAATTAGGAGGGGGAAAAAAATTAAGACTCTTTATGGTCAAACTCTCTTTAGAGATCACTTAATTTAGCTCAACTGAAAGACACAAGAGCATGAAGTCCTAATGAATGAAGAAAAGCTGGAGAAATTTTTTATGTATTCTGTATCAGGTGTCATTAGACAAATGGATAGGGCTAATAACAGCAGATGCTTTTATTGAGGTTTATACCTCATTATTCTTTAGAAATTTATGTTAATTGCATGTGTGAAAATGACAAGGGAGTTAGAAAATTACAGGGAGTCATTCTTAGCTTTGAGACAAAGTCATTAAATCAAGGTAAGTGATAATGAAACATTTGTTAAACAGCTTTTCTCCTTTCCATTATGGGTTGTCATTTTTCCTTTTCTTTTTTCAACCTCTCTAGTAGCCACCACTAACAGTGGAAATATTTTTAAAGTTTTCTTCTAAAAAGCGTTTATGGTCATGAAAAACAATGCAACTGAAACAGTACATTTATATTCTTATGTCATACTCCACAATGCAGTTTAGTAGTTTAACAGTCAGACTTTTCAGATAAGAGAAAATGCTGTGAAAAATCAGTTGGTTTACTAATGGCTAACTCTTACAAAATTTGGTAAGAATCCAAAACACGACTGACTGGGAAACTGCCAGCATGCTTGCTGCTCTCAAGGAAGAATTCATCACTAACACCAGCAAAGGATATTCTGGGGAGATGGGGGAAAACGGAGCAAGGTCTAAGACAAACATTGTTACCTCCACAAGCTGCAGCAGCGTTGGTTCTTGCTCCGATTTCAGCAGTAGCTCGTAATCCTGTCCCTTGAAGTTATCACGATAATGCCTTCTGTTATAGGGGACTCTCAGACTTTGGGGAACACCAATTTTGTTCTCCAGCAAGCGAAACTGCAGGCTCTGAAAACCTGAGGCGGGGCTTAGATAGTATCTTTGGGAAGAAAAGAAAAGAAGATACAAAAATTAGGATGTTATTTTATGATGATGGGGCTCTCTGGTTCTCAACAAAATAAAAAACTACATATCTCACGTTTGAAGAACATCAAACAGATATCTGAGCATTTTTTGTGTAACTGCAATTAAGACAAAAAAAGCCCCAAGCTATTTTAATTCACCTACAGTGTATGTATAAGATATTCTAATTTTCTAGCCATATATTGTTTGTGCATACGTTTGTACTGTGTTTTAAAATGACGGCTTTGTCTGTATGATGTACAGGAGGAAATGTCAGTGATTATAACTTCTTTTGCAGTCAGAAATGCAGCTTCACCCCAAATAGCAATTACGAAAATTTCCACATCGTTAAAGTGCCAATGAATGCATTTGAAATAGGCTTGTTATACAGAATAACTGCTATGTATGCAATAGAATAATGTTCAGAAAAATGTTTAGTGGGTTTCGTTTGAGGGATTCATTAATGGGATTCTTTCAGAGTTAAATCGCATGACCACGCTGAAGAAAAGGATTAATAAAAGTAAGCTGAAAACCCACATTGCTAGATAATTGTAATGCACTTTGAAATGCAAATATAAGATTTGGCAGAAAGTGATCATTGGTTTGATCTTATGTTTGCTTATCAAATGACACAATATTGTTGAAAAGCAGAAGCAAGAATGCATCAGAACAGATGATTAGCCCATGGATTTCTCCCCTGCTGTAGCGTAATGCTGGACGATACGGATGTCTCAAACTTCCAAGAGAAGCAAAATGGTAGTTTCGAGTGCTTTTCAGTTTGGGAACATTAAAAGACAGAAGGAAAAGGGTACTAAAAGAATGCAAAAGCAGATGGGGTGCTGGATGGCACTGAGATCATGAGTCAGATGGGTCGGTGGCACAAGCAGAACAAGGACAGGAAGGCAGACAGTGGGTGAAGATTTCATACATGGCAGTGAAGTTGCAGGACCCAGCTGAAGTGAGGGAAGGGATAGAAATGCCATGGGAGAAGCGAAGCAAGCTGAGGGATCTCAAAATAAGCCTGGGCAGAAGGCAGAAGAGCTACCACCCATCCAGCCCCGCAACACACTGGGCAGCTGCTGGAGAGTAGGAGCTACCGGGCAGAAAGCAGCAGAGACAGCAACGCCTCCTTCAGCCGCTTGCCGCCTCCAGCACCGCAGACCCACTGGAAACACGAAGCAAGGAAACACTACGCAAACCCAGCCAGCTGAAATAGCTGTTTGATAATCTACAGGGAGTGCACTTTGCGCACCCAAGCACTTCTACGATTTGCTGTAGAATATGGCTGCAAGTGCAACCGCACAGTGATAAGTTTCAAGTAAATCGTTAACGAAACCACGAGCTATTTCTACTGTTTCTATTGTTCTAGCTTTTCAGTCTGAAACCATTGAGCAGCAACACACATAAACATCAGCAATTCACTTGTACTTTTTTGCAACGCATGCTGGATTCACACTCGAGCTCAACTTCTTCATCGACTCTTGCGCTCTAACGTCACGGCTGCCTCTCTAAGGTGTCCTCATACCTTGCTGAACGATGCACGTGCTACAAGCTGCCAGGGCACATGGGAAGTTCACAATCACTTCTAAGGATGGGAATTACCAGCTCATGGGTTACTGCAGAGGAATCATAAGTATTTACCTGAAATCAAAGAAGTCCAATGCAGTCATAGTTTCCAACACTGAGAACTGTTCCACAAGTAATTTCAGAATCATTGAAATCCTGTTAATTCGAGTAATAACCTTCAGCATGTTCCTCTCATCTCTTACCTGTAGAAAAGATACAGATCATAACCTGACAGCATGGTGTTCTCTCTATATTCTACCTATTTATTTCAGGTCTTTTCACTGTTGTACATCACTATAGTTCCCAAGTCCTTTCCATGTGATATCCATAGCAGCAAAATCTCATATTGAATAGAGTGCCATGTTTTTAACTGAAAATTGAAACTATAATTTTCAAAGATCAAAATCTGTTTTTCTCTGACTGATGATATGTTACAACTAGGCCGAATACATAGGTTTTGGTTTTTTCTTTTCTCCATTTTTGACTGAAACACAAGTCACCACAAGGAATTAAATTCTAGACCAAACTCATTTATATTATGATCATTTCCGAAGATTACTATTTTTAATGATACATGATGTAATATGCTAATTATGTTATGCTTTCTATTCTGATCACTTCTATAATCATTTCTATCATTGTGAAGCAACAAGTCAGAAGGCAGGTGTGAAAAGTACTTTAAAGTTGAGAAGAACAATCATGTCAGGAGAGCACATCCAAAAAGATGTTCATCAGAGCTGTGCATTAGCAAGCAGAGGAGGACAGAGAGAATGCTGCATATGGTCGGAAATAGAAAATACCCAGTGGAAAACACAGAAGATCTCTTCTGGCTAGTTGAACACTTTGCCTGCAGAGGAGTCTGCTAAAATTTCTATTAGCTTCAAGGGGTCAAATTTCTCTCTAAGACCAGGGTGTGCAACCAGGAAATATCAAACTACAAAAATAAAAGATGATAATCATTTCCTTAAGCATCTTGTTGTCTACTTAACCTTAACATTGACATTTCAAATTCTGATTATAAGAAAAGTTTCATTTTTCACAAAAATAAATAATCAAAAATTATTCTACTTAAGAACTGATTTTGATTCGTTATAATTTGATATCACGTTCAACTAAAAAGCTAACAAAATTATGAATGTGGAGGACAAAAAAGAACATTTTTATTGGACACTATGATAAAAAGGTTCGTTCTTTCAGTCTGGTCCATTTTCAAATTTTCTTCTTATACACATACTCATAATGTTATTCAAGGTATTTCTCAAATTGAAATTCTCAAATTCAGCCTTTTTTTGTGGATGTAGTATCAGGTCAGGAGTTTTCCTTTGTCATCTATTGTTATGAGGTGTTTTTAGCTTTTTGGGCAAATATTTAGAGATGTTCAAAACATTCCTGTTAAATTTGTAATTTTCAGAAATTGTCATACAATTGTACACTGTGATTGCAATTATTGCTTTTCTGTTGAATTTAATAATACACAACTACTGAAAAGAGTTTTCCTTTCATACAGCAGATTTTGGATGGAAGGATATAGTTTGTAGACTTCAAAAATCTGAACAAAAGCAGAAGTGACTTTTCAGCATAAAATACCTGTTAGCCCTCTGGTTTTCATTTTTGCCTCTAAGCATGCTTATTCTGCAGTAAAATATTCCCAAGTTAAGCTTCTGCAGTTATCCAGTGCCAGTAGGAGAGCATGAGAGCATTTTGGCCAATGAAATTGGTCTTGGAGAGTGGGCTATGCAAAAGGCAGACTTCAGGAGGAAATAAGATTTTGCAGATCAAATGTCTGCACTGTCAGGATATAACAACCACTCAGCCAAATTTCATTTGGGCTTTTTTGATGCTGTTTTTAAAAAAGAACACCTATGGCTTCAATAAACCCAAATATATCACGGGCTGGAAGGCAGGAGGCAAAAGAAAGAGAGGGCTGCATTTCCCAAATTTAATATTTGCTCTTAACTCACGTGGCCGTTTTGAAAGATCACACGCACAGAGTCCATTTCCCACAGAATCTGCTTAAACCAAAGTTCATAAGCTACAACAAGAAAGGCATTGTTAGCATTAACCTCAACATTACTTTCTTTTTTCTTCATAGCATTGAAGAAGTAAAATTTACATTTTGATTTGAAATGAATAGCCTACATTTACACTGCCGGTGTATAAAAAGATGCTGATACACAAAAAAATTACGTGTTACAGTATGCTGTCCTTTACCTAAATGGTTACATGAAATAATCTAGTGTCGAGAACATGGACAGATTTTTTTAAAGCATGCTTTACACACCAGATATTTGATGTACAGAATGTTCATTACCAAAGGGGTAAGAGAATCAGGATCTGATGCTCCAACAAAAGCTAACCCCAGCGCTGCTTACAATGTTTATGTCAAGAACAGGAAAATATCATCACCACAGTGCCTGCAAAACATGTGGCTGTTAGAAGTCAGGGAGCGCTAAGCCAGTATGCTGGCTTCTGGACAGCCTCTAAATGGTTAAAATTGGACTGAAGTTTCAGAGAAGGCACAAGCCAACACACAAAATTTACTTGCAATAAACTTTGTAGCAGCCTGTTACACAGATGGGGAATGAATTTCACCACCTTACTTTCTCGAGAAACAGAACCATCCAAATCTTGGTTTACCATATCCAAAGGTTATACTTATGGCTTCATAAGCACAGAGTTGACTAGAGCCTTACAAATTATATAAGGATATATAGGAATATAAATGCAGCTAAAAGACAGAGCAATTGTAGTGGTTGTGTCTAAAATTAAAACAAATTGTGCATTACATGTTTCAGCATTGAATAACTACCCGTGGCAAAAACACAGGTCAACCATCATTGACTTCTTCCCAACCACTTACCTTGATGCGTCACAATGAAAAGATGCTCATCATGGATTTTGTTTCCTTTCTTCTCACTCTGAAGTTCTTGAGCATTCAATATTTTGTTTAGCTTAAAAATAAAGATAAAGCTGTTCTGTAAAGCTCTTAATTCTGCTATTAACAATGGTAGTCTTAATGCGCAGAGCTTATAGTTAAGGATAATATTTTAGAAAAATATATATATGCTTCATATTCCAGGTTCTATGAGAATTTAGACTAAACAGTCTCAGGTGTCATTTTTACTTTTTAATTTAAAAAAAAATCTTGCCTAAAATGGAATGTTTAGGTACCTCAAGTAATGAAGTTTGGAAAATCACTTTAAGGGTACTTTTAATTATAAAAAAAGGTAAAACAAAATATCCAGCATGTTTTCCAGATCTTACATCTATACTGTCATGTTCCTTGAATACTGAGTTCCTATAGTAAAATTCTGTGTAATCATGCAGCAACATCTGCCTAAGAGCTCTGATTTGAGGCTGTACTACTTATTTCAGTTCTGGCATTACTAATTTGTTTACTGATTCAAATTTAAAATCTAATCATAGTTGTTTTAAAAGAAATCTTTGCAAGATTCCACGTAGTATATCAACAAATCAGTCTTCTGTTCACAAACATGGAGTAATTCTGCTCACTGCAGTCCATGCTGCCACAAAAAAACCCCAAAGTCTGGATTTTTTAATTACTTATGGAATTTTATTATTACTTATTTCTTAATTAATTCTAGTTGTTCTGGGGTTTTGTCTTTTTTTTTTGTGTCCCTCCTAGTCATGATCCCACCCTCTTGATTTCTGCAATATATTTTTCCAGCCAAGTATTCTGGGCTTTCTTGCAATAATTCAGGGAAGTTGCATGTGACCCGTTGACATGGAAAAATTGCCAAGTGGCGCCTGTCAGACCAAAGAAACACTTTTGTGGTGCACCAATTTACAGCTTAGATTTACCAATGTAAGTAATTCCCTAGCAAACGCCCCAAAATATCCAGCTTCGCTGCAGCTTGAGAAGCCATCCCACAGTCCACCTGCACCATCCCAGTCAAGACAGGCTCCTGTGCCCGTGGGTACACATGGAGAGCTCCGGTGGACAAAGGGCCCTTGGAGACCTGTCTCAGGGACTGCCTGACTGCTTGGAGAAGCATCAGTCACAGGTCCTGGCTCAAGTCTTAAGAGAGACCAGGGCAGTAAACGTGAACTCCTTAAACTTACTTGTAGGTAGTCTCCATAGACAAGTCCACCTTTACTGGCTTTATTTATCCCTTCTTGTGATTTGTCATCTTTTTCATCATCCAAAGAGAGCTTGTTAAATCTGAGAAGACAATGAAGTAAGTATATAAACTATTTAATTAAAGAACTGTGAATATATCTGCCTTTGTACTAACAGATACATCCACAATTCAAATAATGCTTTGTTCTGAGCAAACGAACCACTAAAGCAGGCTTTTGAGAAAAACAGTACACATGAAATGCATCTTGTCACAGTAACAGCTGGTAGCATTACATCTAGCTCATAAAATAACAAACCTTGTACAACCTCTTTTCCTTTAGCGATAGCTACAGCTGTCTATTTGTTGATAATCATTAATTCCTCTCTGAGCTTTCATATTTTACATTAAGATTGTATCATTTAAACTGACATTACAAAGCAAAACAGAGGGACGAAGGACTCACAGGTAGTTGTTCCCCGCGAAGGGGCACCCGCTCATGATTCCGGGATCCAAACTCGCTGAGCTGCACACCAAGGAATATACTCTGTTAATGTGCCCAAATCCACTGCAGCTGCCTTATATGTAACCTTATCTCGCCGCCCAGGCCAGCCCCCAAATTCTCCTCCTTAGCCCTCAGCCCATCCCCGCTATTCAGTAATTACAGAAACTATCGCGGCACAAAGGTCAGTAAGTTCGTGCGTTGTTGGCTTTCCACGTTTGTTGGGGTTTTTTTTCAATCAGTCAAAACAGGAATGGCTGGCATACCTACTTTCTCCTGTGGCATACACTTTTTGTGCATTTTACTGCAAAGTTTCTGCCAGTTGCTCCTTTGGGGACCAAAGCTGGTGTAAGGGGTAAATCAATGAGATGTCTGTGTCTGAGGAAAAGGCAATATTTAATAAATTTGGGAATTGTTAAAGTAGATATTTAACTTGCAGCCCTTTGTGTCGAGATACTTTTAAGTTTAAAAAGTGAGACACAGGGAAAAGGAAAAGGAGGGGAAGGGAAGGAGAACGTACTTCTATGGCAGACTGAATAATGCTTGTAAGAGATCTCAGGTAACACACATACTTTCAAAAAATGCACACAGACTAAGTAAAAGAACTAAAAATAATCACATACATCTCATGCTATTTTTTCAGTGGTTTAATTAATGAAAATTTCTTAATTTTATTTCCTCGCGCACAAGTTTCTCTCTCATTTGTTGACAAATGTTACCCAATTCTGTTTAACCATCAGCTTAACACACAATGAAGTAACATGTAACTAGCATGCGCTTCTTTCCTGCCCGCCAGCCTTTTCTGAAAAAAAAAGTTAATGCTCAGTTTTACTGCAAACAAAGCTGCAGGGCCTCTGTGACCCCACACCATTTGCTCTCTGCAAGGCTTACACTGCTTACTGGTGTTCCGGTGGTGGTTTCAGCTGTCCTAGTCACTTAAGAGCAGTTGGCTCATAAAGAAAGTCATATGCAGCACGTGGGTGATGGGATGTATACCCCGCTAAGCCAGATGATGTATGTCAGGCTATACAAATATGAGCTTAAAACTAAGCTGAGCCACAAGAAAAGTAGCGCTCCACTGAGGCAACCCGTCAGCAAGGTCAAGGTGATGTTCCTTCATGGTGCAAAACCTGACAGAGTAGAATAATCCTCTCACCACACACCCACCTCTATACATCTGGTCAGGATGCAGGCAAGTAGAGATGCAGGTGAAGATGGTGCACTGGCACGTACATGTTGAAAACTGTGCTTTTCACCATCCCATTCACACTCAAACAGCCTGATGACAAATGCAATAATATAATTTCTCACATCCATGGATCTCAAAGGCATGGACAAGGAAGGTTTATCTTGTCATTTCTATACACCTTCACCTGAAACATCCAGACTGAGCCTCCACAGTGAAATCAAACTTTCTGTTGTCGTTTCTCTCGGCACAAGCAAAGAAAGAGTGTGAACCTAGTGAAAATAAGGACAGCTGAAAAATATTGTACTTTTAACATCACCAAAGAAGTTACTGTCTGTTTTCTTGTGTGGTTTTAGTTTCTTCCATGGGACACAGAGAACTATAAACTTCCAGAGCAATGGTCTCTGCCTTGTAGCCTTTGTATTGCCTACCCAGCAGGTGAAGGACTTTGAAGTCTCAGAGCCCTTTTAAACCCTATGCTTCACAAAACATTAACTCCCTATCTGGGAAGTAATACTATTCTTAATTGGTTCAGGGTTACCAAACTCTCTCAAAATCTAGCTGAAGATACTCACTGAACCAAGAGCTATACAAACCCCTTCTGGTTCCGCAACAGACAAGCTTCAGTCAACTAAATAAATCAGCCAGACCGCAATGATTTAGAAAATTATTTCCAGTATCTCCAACACGTTCAAACTCCATGTAGAGACCTCTTAGCTGCATGGTCCCAAAGCACCTGCATGCTAAAACCCACCAGCCTAGTAACACTTGTGAAACTTGACAATGCAAACAAACCACACCCACTACTCATCACTCTTGCTTGATGACGGTGTTCTCTTCCCCCTCTAAGCCCTCTTGCACTAATGCATTTAGAAAGCTTGGCTGTCCCCAGGAGCCTCCTGCTGAGAGGACATTCCCAAGTGTCCCCGAGTCCTTTATCACCAATATCTGCCTTTCCCCCAGTTCCTGTCGTATTTCACTAGCAATGAATAACCTTATGATACACATCAGAGGACTAAAAAATATGATTCTCCAAATCATCAGAAAACTGCAAAGACATTCGAAAAAAGAAACATGAGCAATTTGTTTCAAGTCCACACTTGGGCCACAAATACGTTCCTCTAACCACATTTGTACAACGTCATGCTTTGATTTAAAATAAGAAACAAATATAATTTTTGCAGTGCTGTCAATACATGAAACATCACTATCAAAATATTCAGTCAGATCCTAGGAAAGCCCCAGTAATCTAACAGTTCCTTTCAATGGCTGAGATAATTAGAAGCAAGAAAGCTGTTACTTATATGTACAACGCAGAATAAAGATGGCAAGCTCATGTTCTGTATTTTTACGAGAAGCAAAAACCAAATACGTGTTTAGGAAAAAAATACTACCTAGTAAATTTGTTTAAAAATGGTTTTAGCATCTAAAGTATATGCTTTATACTTTGTATGTATTTTGTAGAGTGAATACTCCAGACTACAGTCTTCACATTAAATCCAAATCCACGTTCACCAGACAAAGTATATGAACTCTCTGATGTACACAAACCAGAAACAACTTGCTCTCTCTTTTCTATATCTCATAAGTAACCCCAACTGAAATAAATGTTCAATCTAAACCATGCATAAGTTTAATCAGTCTGAAATGATGCTGCAGTAATTTAACTGTCTGTGTTTCACTTTGAAAACTAGAAATGCCGGAAGTGGCTTTGTGGTCAATTCTTGAGGAAAAGCCCTACCTCTCCCCTGCCCTGGCTCACAAACAGCCAAACAGAGACCACTGTATTCATGTTTTAGAGAGAAGCAAAACCAAGCATGGAACTGCTGTCTGCACTGTGCATCTAGCCAGGGCAAGCTCTGTAGATTGACCATTTCCTAAAAAGCTGACAAATATGGATAATATTATCCTTGCAACCATTCGTCTAAGAAAATTCAGTATCACACTAGCTGAATTCTGTTCTCTAGCCATTCCAACTACAACAGACCTCACACTATCCAAGATGAATGGAAAAAGAGGTCTTAATGAGGACTTGAAAACCCCTGAAATAAAACCATAGACAATAGGGAATCATGATGCATGCATCTTTCTGGCTACCTTCGTGTGATCTGAGTAAGTCCTCACAAGTGTGAAATGAACTTGGTACTGGGGGGGGAAAGAAAGTGACTTGTGCTACCTGATTATGAAATTGTCTGTTGGCAGTGTAGATGACAGCACAGGTTAGAAGAGCCCTCAGGTTTGGCTCAGCTCTGAGCCTTCAGCTCTGGCTTGGCTGCAGACACCCTTAGAAATAAATGTGCTTCTGCCATGCTGCTCCGATTTGGGGCTCTCTGTAGGGACTTGATTCTTCTTTGAGCGGTTTGAGGGGCCTTTATGCCCTGACAGATGGTACAGCTACTTTGCCATATCTTTATATTAGCATAATCATAAATGACTCTTGATGAAAAACTCTTCTGCGTGAATATATCTGAAAGCAAAACATAACCTTAATTATAATTGATGGTATTACTTTTTTCTCAACATGCACCACAATTTCCCTTTTTCGTGCTGAACACTCGGAACCATGTAGGAGCAGATGTAACCACACACACAACTTGCCGTTCATGCTGTGGATGACTGAGCAAGGCTACAAAAGCTGAGAGTGTGTGTGCCCTTGAGCTTTTATTTAGTTATTTGTTTATTTCCTTTTAAAACATGGAAGTCAGACAGAAAGGCTTCTGTTGATCACCGAAACATATCGGAGGAATGTAACCTTCAGCAGAGAGATAGAATGTTCTGTTTCGTGACTAGGCTGAATAGAAGACAAACAGTTAAACACAGCAGAAAAAAATCCCACAGCTTCCCAGAGCTGCACTTCAGACAAACTGTCTTAGCCTTCATGACCAAGCATAGGAATGTTAAGCACCCTTCTTAACCCACCCTCATCCCGTTTCCGTTTACCTCCCCTTCCCCAGGTGGACATGGGGTGGCTAGGCTAGCTTCGCTCATCTGAGCTGCAACAGGGTTGCAGAGCAGAGACAAACTGAACTTACCTGGACAGATAAAAGTGAGTAGTAAGGGCAAAAATGGAGCGTCCCTCCAGCCTGGCCAAGGGGAGGTGTGATGTAAGGCAGAGGTGGCCTGTAGCATATTTTGTAGACACAGCTGGAGCCAAGAGTCTACAGAATCACAGAATCACAGAATCACAGAATAGTAGGGGTTGGAAGGGACCTCTGTGGGTCATCTAGTCCAACCCC